ATTCACCCATTCATTTGATTGAACGAGTTTCCCGTTGGCATCGCGCATGCAACTGCTCCTTTTCCATGCAGCACCGCAACCGCGTCATATCAATCAATTTTCGCAAGAGAAGCGATAAGAGTATCAGCATTGATTGGGCTGTGCAGCCATTTAAAAATAGGTGATTGCGTTGGGCGTCTGGGTCGGTATGTTGCTTCCTGGTTAGGCGCTATAACGGCGCGTTGGTTGGAAAAAGCGCCAAGTAGCGCTTGTTCAAGGGCACAGTATTCATTTCAGCAGGCATATTTACCCTCGTCTCCTTATCGATTTATCCTGCCACTTGTCTTCAATTAATCATGCAAGAGGAGCAGCTCGGAAAATTCGGGGAATTTCCCGGGCTAACTTGTTTGCTTGGCGGGTCAAACGCTGTCCAGATCAGTCAGCCTTCCTTCTCTTTGGAAGTGACCAACTGGTACTAGATGTATTCTGTTACAAACACATGGTAAAAAAACTGCCCCGTTAATCATTGTTCGAATCAAATACGAGTTCGAGCACGTCATTGGCTCGGATGGAAGCCCTGGGTCAGCCCATCTATGCAAGGGTTAAGCAGCTTAGTACTCTATAGACCTTGTTCAAAGAGAACAGAGGAAAAGGGGCGGAAGAGATGTAGTGGCAATTAACCCGCTTACGGTATGCGCGCACCTAGAGGGGGAGGGGTCAAATCCAGGATCGAATCCTGTCCAGACACGCAAGTCTTTTATCTTCCGGGCCGGTAAATTGGACCCAGGTTTGTCTGGGAGGATGGAAACAGTGATTTGTGCATCCCCCACTTGCAAAAGTCATTGTATAGGCCGGATATGAGAAGCTATGGTTCTAACTGAAAGTAAAACGCGTGCGCATCCCGAAAAGGGGGTTGATCATCTGCAAAAGTCTTGTTCCTCACTCGTCCTCAGTGCAGAGAAGAAAAGGAAATGAAATTTAGTGTTAACGATTATCTACCTGGATTAGATGTGGATAGATCGAGGTTTATTTTGAGTTCTACGGTCATCTGGTGTAAAAAGTATTTGGGAAGTCTGTGACATTCCAGGTTACTTTTAATGAAGTTCAGCTCTTCGAAATTTTTCGATTTCATATTCTCAAAGGAATCCAATAAATTTTCCGAAAAGCTTTCTCCGAAGGGCTTGTTGAGGATTGTTAATCCGAACTACACCAGGGCGAAGCTGGCGCTGTTGAGCCAGCGCGTTGCAGCCGCCCGGGCATTGTACGCGGTGTTTGAAAAGCCGTTTCTTTGAAAAACTGCTGTACTTGAACATTTCTTCCAGCTGGGGCGGTGGATAGCGTTGGCTCATCGTCCGAAACCTTGCTGTTTCTCGGCGTGACGAACGCTCGTCGTCTAGTTAAAATGTAAACGAACTGAAGAGTTTCGGTTGGAGCATGGCTAGCCGGCACGTTCTTTTGAATGTGTTCTCTCTTCAGTTGGTGGATTGCTCTTTTGTTCCCTTGTTGTTTTTTTTTCGTTCAGAATTTCTGTTGTTTCAAGGTCTGAGTACATGATCCTCGTTTCGATACGGAATGGGTATCAAGGGGATGTAATAATGAGTACCTCATAACACATAAGAAGTCACCGGCCGATATGCAGAAACTATACAACAATATGGTGGGTCCTCTACATTTTCTTCTGGCGTACCTCGATATGATCTAATTTCGGAAGAATAGATAGAGCTGTAGTCATGAAGTTGTGAAATGCTTTATGCCTGGTGAAGTTGTTAGGTGGGATTTCTTCTCAACGACCACCTCCCGCCCGCACTCATTTGGTGAGATCGTCGCTTCAAGATGCCCGCGATGATGTCCTGGGCGGAGGAGTTTGCGGGAACTCACAACATTAGGCCTTTTCATAGGATTTCCATAACGCTAGTTTGACTAGAACGTTACATACGATTCATTAGAACGTTCCCTTAAGAGGTAGGGGAGGTCCCGAGGTAGGAATGCACAGTGGTTGCGAGTCTCCGCCCACTTTTCCAGGCTGCGGTTTATCGAGAAACGTTTCTTCTGGAGCAATGTCTCAGCCCAGTTGAATGAATGTGCCCTTGAAAACACTGCAAAGCACAAGGCGACTATTGATCCCATCTTACGAGTCTCAATCTTAGAGATTTGTTTTTGGGAATAGTAATTAGTAATTATTATCTGTCATTTTCTTTGTGGTGTGAAGGCTTTGTCCACGATTACTGTTGTGTAGAATCCCCTCTCTGCGCAACGTAGGCGGTCCGCTTTTGCAGAGAACTTTTTCATTATCGCCGGTTGAAAAAGAGTAGCAGGCGCGCCAGAAGTCTGCCTCGAAGGTTATACTCCACCCACGAAAGTCAGTCTCCGCCCCTTAGTTTCACTCCCTCATCGCTGAATGGCCTTGCGTTTTGCTCGTATATGTAGTCTCTCGCCGTTTCGTCGTCCTTTTCTCTTTTGTACGCTCAGCGTCTTTTCACCGTATCCTATTATAATGTTGTTATAATGCCGAAATCGAGTGGAACTTTATTTGTGACGTTTTCGACACTTTGTTTGTTTTTCTTCTTTAATAACTCAACGACCATATACCACTTTGAACCCCTGTACCTAAGACTTACAGTTCTGAACTTACAGTTCTGAACTGCAGTTCCCTATTGCCACAGACGCTGGGGGTGGCCAGGGTGGCTGGGTTTGGCGCAGCGCCGGCACGTTCTTCACCAGTTGTTAAGCGGGCAAGCGACAACAACTGATGGGAAAACAAGCTGGCGTCGCGCAAGCCCAACCCCTTGACACAATCCACCATCTGCAGCTCATATCTGCTCGAGTTGAGGTGCCCAATAATACCCAAATATTGTCATTATTTAGGTCAATCGTCGAGTCAATCGTCGAGTTCTATGTGAAAAAGAATATCGTACTCGCTATTCATATGTTTATGACTGGACAGCACCACCGAGTCTGTGTTGTCAGCGATTGAACGGAACGAATATACCATGAGAAACATCGTTCTCTTCGGATTGGATCCTATTTCTAAACACTTCCTGAAGATGTGGACGAGATAGGAAGAAATATTGTCGCTCGTATGTTTCTTGCCTAATCAGTGGAGTACTCCATTTAAACTGTGGAACAGTCGGCTACGTTTCACTGTTTACGTTCTACGATCTCTGATGCCTTCATTCCAGCCATGTTTCCGATGCCATTTCATGTTGGTGTCAAAGGCCACTTAATGTGTCCTTGTTGTTTGTCCCTCTTATTCTGTTTTATTTTTCGGTTCTCAAAATAATTGTTAGTCTTGCTTCAGCTTAGGTTTCCTGGTTGATGAAGTGCTCAAATCGTCATGTCGTGCTAAGAATTACTTACTCTTGGGCGGCACTCACTGGCCCATTTTCACTTATTTCTTACCCAGGCCCCACAGAATCTACAGTTGCGCGCGTGCATTTATGCTTGTATCATTCGGTCCGACGGAGATGGTGTGGTGGCAAGAGGCGCTGCTTTTCAGGCTCACAGTCTTTGTAGTTACGCATTGGATCAACTCCGAATGAGAGCGAAAGTGCAAAATGCTCTTCCCCGTGCCGTTACCGAACTGTCTCTCATTATTCTGAATCTTGATAGTTAGAGCCTAGCAATACGATCTCATAGACGAGTCATGAGTGTTGGTCGCGTTGTGTGTTTCCCTACTGGCCGGGTAAGATTCACCACTTTTCTGAGAGTTATGTGAAATGTTGCCAGTGTTGAGTAGGTTTTATTTTCTTATTTCTGATATCTTCGTTTCGTCCACGCTTTATCGTTTGTGGAGCTGCATAATGAGTGGAAGAGTTTTAGTTTTTCATTTGCGGCTGCGTTCATACTTTGCGGCAGCAGGCACAAGCATCCAGATGTGGAGAGTATGGAGAGATACGAGGGAGCACGCAGTTGGAATAAACGTGGTATTGCAGTGTGTGCAGCCGCACCGTACTACTACGCAATACCGTGCATTAAATTGCATAATTCTGTGCTTTAGCAGTTGTGCGGTGCGGTTGCACACGCCGCATTTCACGACGCCTAATCCAGCTGTCTGCTCCCTCCTACTTT